TGTGTAGTTTCTGGTGTACAGCAAAGTGATTCAGTTATATATATAAATACGAAATATATATAAGATATATATGTTTTACATATATAAGAATGAAAAATAAGAATATGAACAAGAATATATGGAACATAGAATAGAATAGAGAATATATATTATTATGTGTGTTCCTATTCTTCTTTCACCATCTGTCCACCATTTGCTACTCGCCCTGTTTAAACAAGGAAAGAAGTAAGTCTTCAGGGTCAGAGTCTTCACATCAAGTGTCAACATGATGGACCTAGAATTTAATATTGTTCTATTTTCTTTGTATTTATTTCTGTCTTCTATGTAAGCCATAGATGTTGGCTTTTCATTTACACTAGTGATACAGTATTTTTAAGTGATTCTTCATTAGAGTATAGAATTTCATCAGGAACAAAGTTTGTTTGTTTCTGTGCCGTCCAGTTTCTTAATATAAAGAAGGTTAAGGTCCAGCCTGTCTTCTACCTGCCCCGCCTTAGGGACTTTGAAGAGATGCCAAGAGCTGCTGAGCCGTGGGCTGTAGGCGGAGCGGGTGGGCGCTGGAGGTGGGGTGCCGTTTTGCTCGCGATGGAATTGCCTCCGGGCTGCGGGGTGCCAGCTCTCACTCTGCTCCACGGGGTTTCCCGTTCTTGCAGACATACCCCGGGACTGGTCAGACTTTGCCCTTTGGTGGGAACAGAAGCACTGCTGGCTTCTGAAAACGCACTGGACTCTGGACAAATGCGGGGTCCAGGCAGACGCAAAGCTCCTCTTCACGCCTCAGCACAAGATGCTCCGCCTCCGCCTGCCGAATATGAGGACGGTGCGGCTGTGGGTCAGCTTCTCGGCCGTGGTGTTTAAAGCTGTCGGTGACATCTGCAGAGCCCTGAGTGAGTTTCGGGGGCGGGGAGGGGGCCGCGCCTGTGCCCTCTGGACGCAGCAAAGGGGGACAGGAAAATTGCGTGCGGCTTCCGCCCACAAGCGGTCGGCTTTACGGAACACTTCCCTTGTTAGGAGCACACTTCCAAAGCCCAGTTCTGGGCACTTTAGCCATTTCAATGGGGTTAAACCAAGTGGAACATTATTGGAATAAATCAGATTCACTTCCACAGAGCTTAAAACTGTTTCAAAAGAGGTTTATAAACAGAAGAGACGACCCCATTAAGATTTCCCCACCAAAACTCATTTCTCTAAGCCATTCCGAAGTCATCCTTATACTTAAGGCAAACAAAGAGTCCTACTAAATCATTATCACCACAGAGCTGATGCATCTTTATTGTTTTTGAGGTAATGGTGTTGCAATGTCTTATTGCTTCCCTAACACTTGGCTCTGGTAATAGCTCTGGCTAAAAAAATCATGTGTGGACTTTAAACAGAATTAAACAGGATTAAAACAGAAAAGTGCTCTTAATTATGGATCGGAAACTAATTCTTATGGGTCGGTGTCCCATGAGTTTAACAGCCATTAGGACCAACACTGCCCAAAACATTTCGTCTCGGTGGGACTTCAATACTGGGAGTGAACCGTGTGTCATGAGGTGTTCTTATTTTATGGTTTTTGAAAGTGCGTAGGTATATTCTTTGGTCCCAAGGCTAATATTAAGTGTTTGAACACAGTCTGTATAATATATGAGTAAATAATCTGTCTTCCCCCTTAAACTGTAAACTACTCATTCATTCTTTCGACAAATATATATAGTTTGATTTGGCAGACGCTGTGGTGCGTGCTAGGGATTGGTTAGCAATAAAAATAGCCCCAAATCCCTACCTGCCTTGAGCTGGCATTGCAGCATACAGAGACAGAAAATAAATCTTGTGAAAAAAAACAGGATGTTAAAAGGAGACAGGTAGGATGGGGAAAAAAGGAAAAAGTGTAATAGTGTGGACAGGATTGAAAGTGCCAGTGTTGGGTAGTGCGCTGGTGTGATATAAAATAGGTTGAAGACAGACTGTTTCTTGAGCACGTCTGTGTTTCTAATCCCCAGCACATCTGCTGCTTAGTAACTGTTGACTGAACAAATGAATGGAAGCTTCCGTTACAGAATGTAAATTTCAGAATTGTCCCTGATGGGTAGTGAGCAAATGATAAGCACAGGGCATGGTGTTTCTGGGGATGGTCTAACGAGGGTTTGAAAACAAAGTCAATGAGTAAATAAAATTGTACATTCCACCTGCCACAGTGGACTGCAAGCACACATTGTAGCGGGGGCCAAAACCTTGAGGTTGTGAAATAAACAAGCATTCATTCATTCTTCTCTTTTCCAGATTATATCTCCATGGTAGTTCTAAAGGTCCCAATTCAGTATTTCTAATAATCACTTTTTATATTTCACCAATTGAAGCTAAACCAAATTTAGCAATATGATAACTTTTCCTTGGAAGAAAAGAAAAGACACAAATCTTGGGCTTGGCGATTATCAGTAGGGTTTTTTTGTTTTGTTTCTAATGCTTCCACCAGAAATTTTGATTCATCTCCAGGTTTTGCGTGTAAATTATGTATTTGGAATGGTCGCAGGTGTGTGTGGCAACCTGACAATCAGGCTTCCTGGTTACTGGGAGGGACTCGGGCTGAGCTGCCAGCCGCAGCCTCGGAGCTAAGCAGTGTTTGAACTCACAAGTAGGCAGACCTATGAAATCAGTACATCTACCTCCAGGAAAGCTGACCAGAGACTCCAGCATCCGCTCTCCTTGGCTTTTATCTGGGATCATAGCATCCCAGTGTGCTTACTAGTTATCAGATTGGAAATGGCAATTATATTTGATTAATGGAGGAAAATGGGGACTATCTTCTTAGTTTGAGTTCTCCAGAAGCAGACCCTGAAATGAGAATTCAAGTACAAATATTATTTATTTTAAGGGGATGCCTGGAAACCCTGGCTGGGGGTTGGGAAGCGAGACTGGGAAGAGAAGACCCATAATAAGTGAATGTCGCTAATCCATTCACACTGCAGGCAACTGGAGACCACCTTGGAGCTGTGCCACCCAAGGGGTGAGGGAGCTGGGATATTGATACCCCTCTTGTCATACATTTAGGTCTGCTCTTGGGGAACAGCAGGTCTCTGGACTGGTGTGGCCTGGTGCATCTGTATCTGAGTTGTGCAGACTCTGGCATCCCAAGCAAGCCCTTGGACAGAGAGACACATGTCCTAGCTGGCACTGGGAGTTGGGTCAAAGCTGAGGCCAAGAGAAGGGCAGGGCGCTAATGATGTCTGCACAGGGAGGAAAGGAGCTATTGGGCGTGTGTAAAGAAAGGCTCTGAGGATCACTGGTCCATAAAGAAAAAGGGTGGGGTCCTTGGTTGTTGTTTAAAAACTAACAAAAGAAAAAGAAAGGAAGGAAGGAAGGAAGGAAGGAAGGAGGGACAGAAAAACTGGTAAACAAAATACATGACACAAGAACAGTGAAACTGTGCTAGACTGAATCTGCTTCCCCTGTTTGATAGACACACACACATCCATTTTGGGGATCACTGGTCCCATTCAATTTCTTCAAAGGGGATGCGAAAGTAAACTAAACTAAAGTTCCATTTACTTCTGAGGAATTCCCTGAGAAGTGGTTTCAGATGGCCAGCATGGCTCTGAGTCTTAGAAGGAATTCTCTTTTTACTTGCTGCTTTTCTTCTTTTCTTTTTCACATTGACTGTTTTTTAGATATTAGAAGATCAGAAGAACTTTCCTTGTTAAAGCCTTCTGGTGACTATTTTAAAAAGAAGAAAAAAAAAGAAAAAAATAATAAGGACCCTGTAATTGAAGATATTTTAAACTTAGAGGGCTCTCCAACAATTTCGGGTCCACGAGGTAAGATTCGTCAGAGGTGTTTTGTTGTTTTAATTCATTATTAAATCCAAAAATGTTTGTAATTCTTAAGTCCCAAGAACTCTCCTCCCCTCTGGTCGGCCTTTCCTCTCTCCCCCAAAGAAGGACTAAAACTGAGGGTTCCTGTGATGAGGAAAGAATTTCCAACTACTTTTAGAACGAACAGAAATGTGTTAACAAGGTATGTTTTCTAGCTCATTATGTTAATTGTATACATTATGTTGCTGATGGAGGCAAAACTTCAGTAGAAATGGCCGTAAAATTGTGGGATAGAGATTTGTTGGATCACTCAAATATGCTTCTCTTCCTGGTCCTACCTGCACATGACTCTTCCTGAATTCAGCTCACATTTTGCTTTGGGCGTGGAACAGGAGGGACGGTAACAATTTTGGAAAGGCGTCATCCTTTTATTTTTACAGGCATATCTCAGAGATATTGCCAGTTGGGTTCCAGACCACCGCAATAAAGCAAGTCACACAAACTTTTTGTTTGTCTCCCAGTGTTTTCCCAGTGTTTCCCAGGTTGTGTTTACACCATCCTGTTACCTATTAATTGTGCAATGATAGCATTATGTCTCAAAAAAACAATGTACACACCTTAATTAAAAAATACTTCATGAATGGTCTCTAAAGAAGGAGAATCCAGAATAAAAGTGGAGCTCAAGAAGCATATTATCTTTTCAGGATACTTTAAAATTCTGTATCATTTAGGGATTTTTTTTTTTTGAGTTATAGTCAGTTTACAGTGTTGTGTCAGTTTCTGGTGTACAGCACAATTAAATTTAACTTTAAAAAGTAGAACAACAAAAACAACAAAATAAAGTGTGTAACAGATTAAAAAAATACTTCATTGCTAAAAATGCTAAACATCATCTGAGCCTTCAGCGAGTCATAGTAATAACATCAGAGATCACAGATCCCCATAACAAATATAACAATAATGAAAAAGTTGGAGAATTATCAAATTGTGACACAGAGACACAAATTGAGCAAATCCGGTTGGAAAAATGGTGCCAAAGCACTTGCTCAACACACAGTTGCCACAAACCTTCCATTTGTTAAAAGAAAAAGGAAAAAAAAAAACAGTATCTGTGAAGCACAGTAAAATGAAAATTCTTATTCCTGTAATAAGAATAAATCTCTAGCTTGCTTGCAGCACCAGGGTTTTGTTTCTGTTTTTGTTTTTGACTAGTATATTACAATGCAAAGAATGAAAGGGATTATTTGTGCTTTCCTCATGCAAATTAGAGTCAGATGATTTATAAACCATCAACTAGCCAAGTTCTTAAAAGTGGTAAATACTGTGATTTGTTTAACGGATTTACAAAAAAAAAAAAAGTATGAACATGCATTCTGTGAGAGCTCCAGTTTTCCAATAGTGCAAAACTCACTACTGAAACAGAATTTCTAATTATTGAGAAGGAGATAGACCCCAACATTTGTCTGGGCTGATTTGGGAACTTTTTATAGCCTGTGAGTTCCCAGGCTTTCCAGGAGCTAAATATTCAGGCAAGAGCTTTAAGTAACTTCTCTCCCATCAGTCATGACTCATCTGATTATTTTAAGGGATACAAACATTTAAGTTCAAAATCCATTTTAGTACAAGCAGTGCTAGTACTTAGTTTTCTGAAGACTCCTACCCCAGATCGCAGAGCCCAATTCCTACTCCCCTTTGCTTTGCAGTGAGTCCCGGCTTATACAGTAAAACCATGACCCCCACGTATGACCCCGTCAGCGGAACGCCAGCATCATCCACCATGACTTGGTTCAGTGACAGCCCTTTGGCTGAGCAAAACTGCAGCATCCTGGCCTTCAGCCAGCCCCCTCAGTCACCAGAAGCGCTCGCTGATATGTACCAGCCTCGGTCTCTGGTCGACAAAGCCAAGCTGAACGCAGGGTAAGCACGTGACTTGGTTTTGCTTCTTTGTGGACTGATGTTGGCACAGTAAGAGAGAGGCTACAGAGATGGGGGAGAGGGGAGTGTTCAATTTTTAAGTTACACCTAGCGATTGTACACTGTGAGCAAGTCAGTGCTGGTTTTAGCATCGGAAGGGGAAAATATGGCCTTTTGTATATCAACACACTTAAAGTGTGACAGCATTTATGTGTTGGGGTAACTCAGCGGTTTACCATATGTGAATACTGGTCTTTGCCCGTACATGTGTGCAAAGTCTATTTTATGGATTTTATGGGGTATAGAACAGTGTATGAGTGGGTGGTCCCCACTGGGCAGCCTGTAAACCCATGTGGCCCCACGGCCCACTCTGTCTTCTAGAACATACAGCACCCCTTCTCCATTCTCCATTCTGATGAGCGATTTCTTCAGTTTCTCTTTGATGTGGTCTCAGAAACTCAAACTCATTCTTAAACCACCATTTCTTTCGCTCCCTGTTTACCTGTCCACAAGGTAAAGTCAAATTTGTTAACAGCTGTCCACTCCCTGTGAGATCTGGCCCCAACAGACGTCTGTCTGTCCTGCTGTGCGCGCATGCACCCCCGCCCCCACGGTGCGTGCTCACTGTCACCGCCTTGCCTCCAGCCTCCAGCGTTTGCTCCGCTCCAGGACTCTCGCCTTTCCTCCTGCTCTACCGCTCAGTCCCTGCTTGTCCTTTAAGGCCCAGCCACATCCTGTCTCCTGCTCAGTTGTCGCCATTGAAGACCCTCCACCATTCACTCCCCTCAGATCTCATGCTGATACTTCACTCACTCCAGAGTCACCTTGTTCCTTTATTATGAGGCTTGGTCTCCCCCACTGGACCGTCAGCTCCTTTAGGATGGAGGGTGCATCGTGGTTTTCCTTATTCCCCCATAGGGGAATGTACAATATGTAATAGAATATTACATGTATGAATATATATAGCCAACATATATAAACATATGTGATAGAAGTTCAGGCCACTTTCGTTCAGTGGTATTATATGACTCCCATTCCCACCTCGTTTCATTGTTGACTTTTAATCACCGTTACCCAGTGTTCATCTTTCAGACTCTAGAATGGTACTACCCTGTATGGGAGTCCCTAGCCACATATGGACATTTGCATCTACATTTGAATTTCATTTGAAATGTAGCGCTAGCCACATTTAAATCTTCATAGCCACATGTGGCTAGTGGCTACTCAAGTGGACAGGACAATATAGAATATTTCCATCATTACAGAAAGTTCTAGACGGATAGAGCCAGCTTGGGGTCGGACCAGCTGGTGCAGACTTGGGCACAGTCAGCAGGCAGCAAGTCCCTGCAGTAGAAGTGCAGGCAGCAGCCAGCAAGTCCAGATGCTCGTTCTGGCTCCATCACGGGGCGCGTGACCTTGAACGTACAGCTTAATGTTACTGAGGCTCATTTTCCTCATCTGTAAAACTGAGCAAACAAGAAGCGCCCTGGCTGGGGGAGGGTACAGCTCAACGGTAGAGGTGTGTGCTGAGCACGCACAAGGCCCTGGGTTCAATCCCCAGTACCTCCACTAAAAAATAAAATACAGTAAAGAAAATTAATTTAAAAATACAGAAAGAAACCTAATTAATTACCTTCCCCCCACCGGCAAAAAAAAAAAAAAAAGTGCCCTGGCTCCTTCGCTGGGTTACTTTAAAATGTCAGAGAGAAAATATATACAAAAAGCACTTGGAAAACTATGAAAAAATGGACATGTGAACTATTATCAAGTTCTCACCCTTACTGGTTTTTGGTTATATTACTAACCCAGACTTTGTTCAAGGATACGCACACGCACACATATACATTACGTGTACATGTAGACATAAACGTTTTATATGATACTATAATACGTATGTGTACACTCAAGTGACTTTTAAACCCACGCTGTTGTTTTCTAGTTGGCTGGACTCCTCGCGTTCCCTTATGGAACAAGGCATCCAGGAGGATGAGCAGCTGCTGTTACGATTTAAATACTACACTTTCTTTGACTTGAATCCCAAAGTAAGATCCCTTTTCTCCATTCTCTCTCTTTTTTTAATGTGAATGCATAGAAGTGTAAAGTTGAGTCATTGAAGTTGTCCAGATTAGGATTAATTTGTGTCCTCTTCTGCTTTAGCTCTGCACCATTAGACCAGTAAATGTATACTGGTCTCTGGATGTTCACCTTTTAGTCCCTAGTGAGCATGACGAGCTGCCCCGGAGTTGGAGGGAGTCTCTACGGGGACTTCGTGCCCAGCAATGGGGTGCACTGTCCCTCTCCATTCACAGAGACCAAGGAACAGGAGAGAGTGGCTCATGGAGCCGGAGCCCTTCGTGCTTAGGAAGGAAGGCGTTGTCAGGACCCAGGCTGAGAGCGGGTCCTGGTGAACGAGGCAGGTCGTGGGGATGGCACACGCCAGGCTCCCCGGCGCGATGCTGAAGGAATCTTGGGTGACGAGGAGGCGGGACCATCTGCAGAAATAAAGCCCCCAGCTGGTTGCCAACTCCCATTTTAAGTGCACATCTCCCGCCTGTGGGTTCCTGGGACAGTTGAGGTGGTGAAATTAGTCCTGTGAACATCTGCCCTTTCCTCGCGCCGTTCTCCCTTCCGTGGAGCTGTGAGTCAGCACATCAGTGGCCGTTTACTACTGGGCGCTTGTTTGGGGGGCCTGCCTCGAGCCCCCCTTCTGTGTCCATCCCTTCCTTATGCACAGCAGGGTTTCTGCCTCGTGTCACTGTCTTCTCCTTGGTCCTGGTTTTAAGCCTGGTCCTCAAAGGCCCGTCTCGGCTCCCACTGCCTCCCTAACTGGCGGCTTCTTCAAAACAAGCCCTATTCAATGTCGTTTCTGGGGAGCTCTTGTTCAGCCTTTGGTTTAAATCCGACTTAATGCCCACGGACCTCGCTTGTGTCTGGAGTGCAGAACTTCCCGTGAATCATGGTAAGATTTGGCTCTTTTGGGGTAAAACCTTCGGGAGAAATTAATGTTACAGCTTCTCCTAACCCATTGTTTTGATTTTTTTAAGGGCACCGTAAATTATACAGCTATATTCAGGTTTTCTTTTTTGCATTGTCTGCTAGAACCAAATCTCTGCATTTTCTGTGATGTCATTTTTAGCTCTCATTCCTGCTCAGCTTTACCCTTTTCCTTGCCTAGTTCCTAGCCAGCTTTAAGGTACTTTGTTGTATGCTATCTATTCTGATAAACTGCCTTAAGTTTTCTTCTGAAACTAGATGACACATAAATGAAACATACTTTTGCATTTTCTAATTGCTGAGTCAGTAAAGGGGCCCCATCTTATCGATTCAAACATGTGCCCCTGTTGTTTATTTATTTATTTATTTATGGAGCAACTGCCATGTGCCAAGAACCACCCCAGCAGCTGAGAACCCAAAACTTCTGGACGTTAGAAAGAGATTTTCAAAGTTATGAAGTAAAATAATCAGATTACAAAATGGGATAATTAAAATGAACTACCAGTGACCAAAATCTTTTCCCAAATGGATGTAAGTAACATATCTGTTCAATGAATTGAATAAATGATAAGGTCTAGTGGCAGTTCTCAGAACTGGCGTAGTGTCAAAGTGGTGATGCGAGTGAGCATCATTTGGAAACAGCAGTGTGATGAAATATGAAAAATCAGTGATGCTGGCAATCATGACGTCACAAGTCCTCCGTAATACTGAGGTGTGTTGCTTACATTCCTCATGGAAGGATATGCTAAATTCCCATTGGAAGTTGGTGCAGTTCAGAGGTGTAGTTTTCCTCATTCAGGCTCATGGACCACCACGTGATTTAGGCGCTCAAATCCAAGAACCCCAGATTCAGAAACCCTGCCCTGAGATCACATTCAAGTCTTACCCCTTCTGAAAAGGAGCTTTTCTCTACTCCTGGTCACAGAGGCCTTTCCCTTCTTTGAGCCACAACTGAGTGAAATTTCAGGACTCACAGCTCGATTTGTAGCATCTTCATGGATTTTCTCTGCAAGTAAACTGCAGGCTCCTTGGGGACAGGGACCTTTCTGGTGTTTCTTTTGCCCTCCATCCCCACGTGCTGCAGGAGAGTGAGGCTTTTCTAGCCACCTACTCCATGAGGGTCGTTGGAGACCCTCCTATCAATTTCCTTGCCGAGAGATTTCCCATTAAATAAATCCCTTGCTTTGGCAGTAAGCTCAATGCTAAAAATAAAGGAGCTCAGTCAACTATTCCTTAAAAAAATGGTCAGGAGCCTGTGAGTGACTTCACAGTCAAAGAATTCAGACATGACACAGCATCAGCATAAATATCAGAGGTGGATGGAGCAGTGTTAAATATGTGTCTAAAAAGTGGAAGATTAAACAAAATCATACTCCCAGAAGGAGGCAAGGACCCCAAAGGCAGAGGTCACCGGGGCCGACGTCCTAGGCTCTTTGCCTCCAGCCTCCACTTGTTTAATTGGTAAGGAGTTCTCTCTCCATAGCCTGTGAACAAAACCCATTTGAATCTAGCGGCCAAATATGGGAAAACTGAGGCTGGCGGAATATGACTTGGAGCCCCGGAACAGCGATCCCCATGCACTGTAGAGTTGGCGCAGTACCCCTTACCCCCGGCTCCTAAAGAATGGAGTGCGGAGTGCTGTGAAGGGTACCACCAAGTTTAGGGCCCCTACTGTGTGCTGAGTATAGGGAGGCAGAAACTTCAGATAGAATTCATGCTTTCAAAGAGTCTACAGTCAAACCTTGAAAAGCAAAGATAGCGCCCATGAACCACCGCAGACAGACAAGGCACCTGCAGTCAAGAGCCCAGTTATACAACAGGACCTGGCAGCATCTCTCCCCTGGCTTTTGGAGGAGAGAGGTGGACAGGCAGGCTGCAGGACTGAGGCAGCAGATGCTGATTAAAATCTCAGATTTTAGGAATATATCTAATAGGAAAATACTACAGCACAACATTTCAAACATAATATACTTTAAAAATGCAAACTCCAGAAGCCATAAAGAAGAGATTGGTACATTTTAATGAAAACAATGAAAATTTTATGCACGGCAAAAAACTACAAAGTTAAAAAGTCATTGCAACACACACTACAAACAAAAGGTTAGCCTCTCTTAATAGAAAAGAGCTCTCCCAAATCAGTCATAGAAAGGCCACAACCCGGTAGACTAATGAGCAAAGGATATGAACACATAGTTCATAGAAAAGGAACTACAGTGGCTCTTAGCCTTATACTGGCAAAGATCAAGAACTTTTTGATACACTGTCTTCGTAGGAGTGTGGGGAAATGGGCTCTCATCTATTTGTTGCTTGGAGGTCATAGTACAAATTAATCTACTCTCTGTAGAAGACAATTTGGCAACATCTAGCAGAATTACAATCCTGCACAGCTTCCACCCTGCAAATCCACCCCTTCGTAGTTATACCACAGTTATACTCAAATATGTGAATTGGAAAGTCTGTACCCAAAAACAGTTATTATTACATTATTTGTTTTAGGAAAAAATGGGAAATCACCTAACCACCCATCAGTAGGGAACTGGTTAAATAAATACATTATGGTCCATCCTTCTAGCGTTGTTGTTAAGAAGAATGAATCAGCTTTCTTTTGACGGGGGACATACTCAGAGAATATTACTGAATGAGAAAGAGCAAAGGGCAGAACAATAGAGAAACTACCATTTGTGGTGAACGAGGCAGGGAAAGAGACTAACTTTTCATTGTACACCCTCTGTCCCTTTTGAATTCATTCAAAATGAATTCCATCATTATATGCTCTTTTGCCCCCATTTAAATGCATTTTTAAAATATGTGAATTTAAAAAAAAGTTTATAACTCCAATAGTTTATAGTATTTTTTTTTAATATTCAGTAGAGAAAAGGCACACGGGTTTTAATGAGAGGCCCAGAAGGCACCAAAAGTGGCGACCCGGCTTCTAAGGGGTCTTAAGTTACTAGCTCCAAACAGTAGTCCCTTCCTGAGAGCATGAAAACTCTGGGAGGTGGGTTTTGGTATCTGTTTGTATTGTTGGTTGGTGGAAGGAGAGAAGAGTTGACTGGAATTGACCAGATGGGTAGAAATATTCTTTCAAGGAACTGTTTTATTTGGCTTGATGGTAGAGGCAAGTGAAGCATTTTTAGGTGTGGAAGCATTTATTAAATTTTTTTCAATCTTTCTTGACTGCATTTGAGAGAAAAGCCTCATTGGATGATTTAACTTACTCTCACTAAAACCCCCACGGCGTCAGGAGTGCAGCACCGTGACTGACTGACTGACTGACAGACAGACAGACAGACAGATATGACTGTTAGTCCAGTTCAGATTTCAGCAACCTATTTAGATTTTGTGTTTCAGCTGTGAATTACAGGCAGGGGCCCTTTTAGGGGAGGGAGGGGTTGGTTGCCTGGTTTTTTTGATGCGCACTGTGCGTGCTTCGTTTAGTTGCCGTATCTTTTGATTGTAGAGTAATTTACATGCCATAAAATTAACCCATTTCAAGGGTACAGTATGAATTTTAGTAAATGTATATAGTTTAAATCACCACAATCTAGTTTTAAAACACGTGCAGCAGGCAAAAACCATTCCTTCATACCCGTTTGTGGTGGTCCCGGCCCCCAGCCCCAGCCCACCACTGGTCTGCTTTCTGTCTCATCTTTGGCCTTTTCTAGAACTTTCACACGTGGAATCATACAGTGTGTAGTCTCGTGTCTGGTCTATTACACTTGGCACAATGGCTCTGAGGTTGATCTGTGTTTTCGCGTGAGCGGATGTCCCATCCTGTGGGTGGACACATTTGGAAACATTGTGTATATCCGTTTCCCAGTTGAGAGACACGGGGTTGTTTCCAGTTTGGAGCTGGTACGAATAATGCTGCCCTGAGTGTTTCCAGGCGTGGCAGGTTTTGGTTTGTTTTGGGGGGATTCTGGGGTGAACTTCTGAGGTGTTCCATGACACCTGGCAAAGCTCACAAAACACAGACTTAAGATTCTTATGATTCCAGCCTCCTGAGAATACACACCTGGCCCTGCACTGGCCCTTCTTTCCGAGCAGCTTTAGAAAATGCTGAGAAGGAGGGAGCCTGGGCTGCAGGTCACCGTCACTCACCTGAGTGCAGCATTCCTTGTGGTCTCGGCTCACTTTGAATTTTTTACACTCCCCATCACCTTTTTCTTAGTGTGCGTAAGGTTACTGCAAAAGGGAAAACAAACTAATGCTAACCAGCCCGTGATAAATCTGTTTAGGTACTGACTATCTTTCTATTTCTACTCTGTGCTTTCTTCAATATTTTTATCTTTTTTAAAAGATACACATAAGTGTAAACTCAATATTAAAAAAAAAAGAAAATCAAACATAGGAGTTACTGTTTAATCAGTACAGAATTCCAGTTTTGCAAGATGAACAGAGTCCTGGAGATGGATGGTGGTGATGGTTGCCCAGCAGTGCGAATGTAGTCACTGAACTGCACACTTAACAATGCTTAGGACGGTACATTTTTAGTGTATTTTACCACAATTAAAAGTAATTTTTAAAAATCAAACAGAAGAAGGACTTATTTCAAGTAAAAATGGAAAATACTCCTTAACTGTGACCTTTCTCCTAAGAGGTGGCCGCAGTTAACAGCTTAATGATTAACCATCCTTGCACATTTTTCCACATACATTTATAAACGTATTTTTGAACAGACTTGCAGGATCTTTGCCCCCTACATAAATTGGATCTTGTATTTGCCCTGTAGCTTGCTTCTTTTCACTTCATAGAATATCACGGCCACCTTTCCATGTCAGAGTCTATGTGTCCGACTCACTTTTTTTCACCACTACAAAATAATCAAAGGAAAAGCTAAACTCTAGTTTATCAGGACCTGGGGGTTGCCCGAAATTTTTGCTCATTCAAAAACTGTGAGCATTTTTGTACAAGTATCTTTGATGAGGGCTCTGCATTTCTTTACAATTGTAACCATGGACATGCTCACCAAAGGGCAAAAAGACATCTAAAGATCTCGCCAGATGGCCTCCTACTGTTCTCACAGGTGTCAGTGCCAGTTTGCACCACACCCTCACCAACACCAGACATTATCAATACCTACAGCCTGGTAAATCTGATAGGAAGGCAGGAATTATGTCGTCTTGTTTTAATATGAATTCTCTGCTTATTAGTGAGGTTGGGCATCTTTTCCAATGCTTATATGGCCATGTTGATTTCTTCTGTCAATTGCCTGTTTACATATATTTGCCCCATTTTCTATTGAATTCTTTGTATTTTTCATATTGATTTATAGGAGCACTTGGTATGTAATGGATACTGTCTTTTCATTTATTGCAAATATTTTCTTTCAATCTATAGTATATCTTATAAACATATCATCTTTAGGGTATTTTTCACCATTAAAAATGTTTAATTTTTGATTGTCAAGCCAGCCTTATGCATCATAGCCTAAAGGCTTCCTGTCTTGCTTAGAAAGGGCTTCCTCACTCAAAGATTACAAAAAGTTTTCTCTTGTTTCCTTCTAATAGTTTTGATCACTAGCTTTAGATTTTTAATAATTGCTTTTAGATATATAATTCACATACCACACATTTCACATACCAAGAGTTCACCCATTTAATACGTACAAGTCAGTGATTTTTCGTATATTCACAGAGTTGTGCAGCCATCGCCACTATCTAATTTCAGAACACTTTCATCATCCCACCGAGGAACCCATCACCCAGTAGGAGTCTCTTCCCATTTCCCTCCAACTCCCCCCAAGCCCTAAGCAGCCATCAGTCTACTTTCTGTCTATGGATTTGCCTGTTCTGGGCATTTCCTGTAAATGGAGTTGCACAGTGTACAAAATCTGTGGCACTTTGTGAGTTTCTTTCACTTAGCATCGTATGTTCAAGGTCCGTCCTTATTGTAATATGTATCAGTATTTTATTTCTTTTTATTGCCAAATAATATTCCATTATATGTATATGCTACATTGTATTTATCCATTTGTCAATTGATGGACATTTTGAATTGTCACTTTTTGACTATTATGAATAGTGCCGCTGTGAACATTCATATATAAGTTTGGGGTTTTTTCCTTTTGCCTTTTTTAAATGGTGGTAAAATAAAAATAATGTAACATATGCCATTTTAGCTGTTTTTAGGTCTATGATTCAGTGGGTTTAAGTGCATTCACAGCATTGTGCAACTGTCACCACTTTTTGCAGAACTGTTTGTCATCCCATATAGAAGCTCTGTCCCTATTAAACGAAACTCCCCATTCTCCCCTTTCTCTAGCCCCCAGTAACCTGTATTCTGCTTCCTGTGTGTGTGAATTTGCTTACTCTTGGTACTTCATGTAAGTGGAATCATACGATAATTGTCCTTTTGTGTCTGTCTGATTTCACTGAACTTCAGGGTCCATGTATGTTATAGCATGTATCAGAATTTCTTCCCTTTTTAAGGCTGAATAATATTCCATTGTATTCTATTGTACGTATAGACTACATTTTGTTTAGTCATTCCTCATTGATAGATATTTTGGTTGTTTCCACCTTTTGGCTATTGTGAATAATGCTACTATGAACATTATTTTATAAGTATCTCTTTGAGTCCCTGTTTTTATTTTTTTCAATATGTACTTATGAGCAGATTAGCTGGATCATATTCTATGTTCAGCTTTTTGAGGAACCACCAAACTTTCCGGTGGAGGCTGCACCATTTTACATTCCCACCAGCAATGCACAGTTCTGATTTCTCCACATTCTTGCCAATATTTGTTATTATCTGTCTTTTAGATTAGAGTCATCCTAGTGAATGGGAGGTGGTATCTCATTGTGGTTTTGTATGTTTAGACTCTTTAATCTATCTGTAATTTATATATTGTGGATGGGGTAAGATTGTTTTGTGATTTTTTTGTTTTTTGTTCTCCAAATGGCTAGGCTATTTATGGACTATTATAGTGTTGAATTCTTTCTCCCCCTGCTGATATAAAATGCCTTTTACTTTATACCACATGTATCTACGTACATAGGTCTGTTTCTAGATATTGCTTTATCAACATTTTGTCCATCACTGTACCAATACCACACTAGTTTAGTGACCGCAGCTTTATTGTATGTTTTAATATCTGTGAGGACAAGTGTCTCCCCAACATTGTTCTTTCTCAAAATGTTCTTGGAGACATTTGAACACTGTCTCTTCCAGCTCAACTGGAAGAGCTTGTACAAAGTTCCACCAAAAACCCCGGCCAAATTTGGTTAGGATTGTGCAGAGTATGCAGATCAGCCTGGGGACCCTTCTCCTTTATATTATCACAAAAACGATTCCTCTGTCTGTTTTTCCCACCAAGAGAAGTGTGATAAAAAGGAAAAATGATGGAATCTAAGATGGATGGGTCAGTTTGGCCCCTTAAAGAAGCTCTGGAAAATATTTTGAGAAGGAAATTTCTCAATTCAGAAGTGAAATGAGCTAGGGCAGTGGAAAGATGGGGATTGTACCTAGCAAACCCGAAGGAAGGTTCACGGCATCTGAGTAACAAGGAATGGCTTCTGTTAGTCCAGGGTAGCCGTGTTGTTAGGATGTGAACATGCCCCTCACACACACAGACTCACATACCTGTCTCTTTCTCTAGTATGATGCGGTCCGAATAAACCAACTCTATGAGCAAGCCAGGTGGGCCATTCTCTTAGAAGAAATTGACTGCACGGAGGAAGAAATGTTGATCTTCGCAGCACTCCAGGTATGGGAGCATTGGCACCTGTCTTTGGCAGGAGAGAAAGCAGATTTGCTCTGCTTAAAGTTTCATTGTCTTCATACTAATTTTTTTCTTTGAAAAAGAGCTGAAACGAGGGTAGTAAATTTAAATTCAAACTATTTCTCATACCCCACCCACGTGCAAATCTTAAAGGCATCAGTCTTGAGGTCCTTCTCTCTTCCGTACTACGAGGTCACCCAGTGATGGAGAAGAACTGAGTCTGAACATGACTCACCATAAATCTCAAAATAATTTAAGTTGAAATGTCGTTTTCCCTGCATCGACAGGAGCTCTCCTCCCAGGAGATCCTCAGTGTTACAGGGGAGTTGTCTTCAAAGAAGAAATGGCTGATGGATTCATTGGCATTTATAACGTTTCTAAAACCTCTGTCTTCATTGTAGTATCACATCAGCAAATTATCGTCATCAGCTGAAACACAGGATTTTACAAGCGAGTCTGAGGTCGACGAAGTAGAAGCAGCACTTTCTAATTTGGAAGTGACCCTGGAAGGTGGAAAAGCGGACAACACTTTGGTATGAGCTTTTCTGATAACTCCGGATTGTGACTTTGCTCTGACTGATCGACAAATACAGACGACCAACTTTTTAAATTAGAAATAAGAGAATAATCTGTCTGATTCTGGAAAAGGAAAATAACTCTCTTTATCTGACAAACTTAAACCTAGCAAGAGCTGACCAGTGTTTCTCAGATCAGCTGTGAGAGACTGTAAGATATTTTCAGGGCTCCCAATGACAATTTCTTTGTATTGTATTTCTTCCTAAGGATAAGCTAGCTTGGTATGAGGGAAAGACTGCTGAGGGCTCCATTTCACTAGTGGGGAGCATGAAATTGGCCCCTTAATAAAAGTCTAGAAGAGTGGCTAACTTGAAAATAGAAAACAAAAATGCTTCACAGATAAGATGCCTTATTATCTATTTTCCTAGTCATATATTTCAACTGGGCAAGGTTGGACATTATAAAAAGTTCCTGAACCTTTTTGACTTTAGGAAATAAATAAAAACCCCTTCAGTGAAACATAAATAACGCTGTTTTTAATCATCTCTTACTCCTTATTCAGGAAATGTGGCTGAATGTCACCTTTACAATTGGAACACCCCTCCTTGTTTGATTTATTCATTGGGAGCCACCCTTGTGTTTAACTTCTTCAATCATGGGAGTAATTGTTAGTTGAATCACATTGAATCAGAGAGGTAGATTCACTGTTAATTGTACATAAATAGCAATAGATTAAAATGAGTCACTATTTTTATGTATGTAACGTGCATTCTCTTATGATTAAATTCCTTAAAATGGGAAGTTGGTATCATGCAAAAGCAAGTATTTTGAACAAACTGAATTCCAAGATTCTGTCGAGATTCAGAGCCCTGGATTCCACTTATGGGAGACACAGGCCTGGTGAAACTGGGGTCCTCTTTTTGTCTAAAGCGATACAATGGAAAGTGATCCTTCTTAGAGGAAAAGAAAAATTCCCTCCTCGCTTCCCTCGATATTTTTATGTGACGCCAAGTGACAGGCTTTTCAGTTTGAAAATAGGCACCAGTCTGCCCTGCAGAGTGGACTTTGAGCCACGCTCCCTCTGAGAGTTTAATCAGTGAACTAGGCATCACTAGGCTCACCTGCTGTGATGTAAAAACTGTGAAATATTTCATTTGTTCATGAAAGTAGTAGTTTCTCACTCAAATTTTTAACTTGAATGGTAGTGCTCGGTCAGTTTCCTTAATCTCTTTTTTTTTTGAGGGGGGGAGGTAATTAAGTTTGTTTATGTATTTATTCTTAGAGGAGGTACTGGGGATTGAACCAAGGACCTCATGAAGGCTAAGCATGCGCTCTACCACCTGAGCTACACCCTCCGCCTGTCTGTTTTTTCATTTGTATAATATATGACACAGAAAAGTGAAAAAAAAATGTACAGCTTAACAAATTAGAAGTCAGTCGTTACCCAAGTCACCACTCAACTCGAGAATTAGAACTCTGCCCGTCACCAGAAGCCCCACATGTGCCCCAGCCTGGTCCCAACCCTCCCCAGCCCAACCCCCGAGGTCACTACTGGAAATGCACCTAGTGCGACGAGGAGCGGAGGTTTTCACTTTATTTCATTTTAATTAATTCAAATGTGAATGGCTGCTACGGGCTGGGACAGCGCGGGTACCAGGGCTCAGCACCACGTGTCTGATCACTGCTTGTGAAATGTTATTTCCGTTTCCTCAGGAGGACATTACTGATATCCCTAAACTGGCAGACAATCTCAGATTATTTAGGTAAGTCACCCTTGAAGAGGAAAGAGGTTAACTCACGGCAAAATCTTGCAGGTAAAGAGTCCACGGGCCTAAATTGAACATCCATTAGGCAGATTTGAGCGTCAGAGGTAAGAGATGAGCTTGGCATCAGACAGACAATGGATAGAAGCCTAGCTCCACCGCACACACCGGCTGGGTGATCTCAGGCATCCTTGAGCCTCAGTTTCCTGATCTATAAAGTGGGGCTATACCTCCTCTTGGATTTGTTGGGAGGATTAAATTAAATCATGCGTATGAAGCCTTGAGCGTGATGCCCAGCTTGTAGTATCTGCTCACTAAATAGTGGTGTAAACATGGCCAGTGTCAGTGACAGTGAGCACATGTGCCAGACTGGAGTTCCTTCTCCAGTCCACCTGCCAGACTGAGGACTGACACCATTTGAAGGCTCTCCATGATTTAAAAATCAGTTGTCTCTAGAACTTTGATCCTGGGCTTATAAAGAATGGTCACCTTAGTTTATCTACCTTTGCCTGTTAAAGTATTTCTGATAAACTCCCCAGTCACCTCAGGACAAGCTGAAACTGTTCAAAAGGCAGACAAGTTTTTTATTTCATGGAAAGAAAGGACTGCCGCATTTGTGATGGTGCCAAGGTGTGTTGGGATGAAAGGGGTAAGGTCCCTTTGAAGTTCTATCAGTTGCTCACGGCACTTTATGGTTTGTTGACTTTTCTTAACAAACTGACACTTCACTGAGTCAGTTGGCTTGAAAAGAAACACCAGTTGCTTTTGTTAACACCCCATGCAAAGAAAGACTTGGAAAGAATGAACAATGAATCAGCTATAAATGAGAAACAAGCATCCAAAGGTAACAGTATTTGTCACTACAAGGGTTCTTTTTTTAATGTGATCATAGCACATGGTCCAAAACAATAGGGTTATTCATGTAACTTCTGGGCACAAGTAGCTGCAACCACACATATTGTTATAGTCAGAGCGACAGAAAAAAAAATAATTCGAATCCACAAATATATCTTTATAAATTATTAATAATTGTTCTTGAAAGAAATTCGGTTGCCATATTCTCTGTTAAGAGCAAATTGAGCTCTTCACAAACCAAACGATAACAGCCTTCTTCCTAGAGATGTTGTCGATGAAGGAAATGATGTTCCGAAGCTAAGCCCTTAGGACGACTCATGTTAAAACTCACAAAGTTGCCCTCATATTTGGCCAGTGGGACACTTTATCTCCCAAAGGTCTCAAGGGGTTGAATGTAATATATAATATGGTTTATGGGAGAAATAAATGAAGGAGGGAAAGAGGAATGAAACAAAAAAAGGAGACAGGAAGGGAGGAAGGAGGTCAGAGAAAGAAGCACTGTTCCTGGTGCGTGTGTGATCCTTAAAGACTCTCCATTTCCCTGGACCTCCTTTCCTCATCCGGAGAAGAGCATTGAACTAGCCCTTTGATTTTTAATGTTTTTTCTTTAACAGTGAAGCTCTCTTTTTCCCTAAACAACATCTTTTGAGTCACTATGTAAATTGTGGACCTCACTTTCTGGCAACACGGCATCTGATCTAATGCAAACCTCAATCTTGCTTTAAATTCATCAAATGTCGGACAAAATAAAAATGGAAGAATTATCAATACAAAGTTGATCTTGAAGTGAGACTGGGAGATCTCAGCTTACAGGAAATGAAGAGGGGATCTAGTTCTGCAAATGAAGCCTCAGCTGTACAGAAGGATTTGGCCATGGACACTGATCGTCATAGCTTGGAGCTGGGATCTTAATCTCCATACAGGACTAGGAGATGAAGCCTTAAGATGCAATTGACTTATGTAAGGCAGTGAGCCAGGACTGAAGCCACTGCCTAAAGACAGAAACTTGCAAGAGTTGCCTTCTCTGTTAAACAGAAAGTAGAAAAACTGCCCATCAGCCACAGGAAGAGTAAGGAAGTTCATCCTTGCATGGAGTTCTGTGTGGGGAGATGAAACGCCTCTTGGAAAATCAGAGCTAATGTCTGTGCCATACCCAGATGTAGATCTAAATTTAAATGCCTTATATGATGAGAATCCTGAAAATAAAATAGAAACTGGTCCAGAATCACAAAACTTACAAAGCCCTACCAATGTAACTTGGTAGGCAAAAACACTTGGAGGGAAATACGCACAATCTAGCACACGTGGGACTTCTACTGAGAATGGTAATACTACCGCCACCCCACCACACACACACACACACAAAACTCTCAGTAAAACAATCAGTAGACCCAACAAATAGTAGCATTAGCAGTTTCGATAATTTTAGATAATAAAACAATCAGAAGAAACCACAAAACGGGTATGTTCAGAACCACTGGAAGGTAAACATTGTAACGAAAGGCAATTTTAGAAACTCTAGAAACGGAAAATACAGTTATAGAAATTTAAAATGGAATGTGTGCTTTATACATCAAGTTTAAAACACGAAGAGAGGACTTACAAAGGTAGAAATGGAAAATATGACACAAAGAATGAGAAGATTCAACGTAACAGCTACTAGGAGTTTCAGAAGGAAAAAATGACGAAGGAGCAAAAACGTTCGAAAGAAAATGCTTGAGAATTTTCATAACTGTTGAAGACAAAAATCCTTAAACTCAGGAATCACAAATCCTAACCAAATAAATCCGTATAAATGTACTTCTTGATGCGGCCAAACACTGGCAAGAGAAAGTCTTTAAAATCAGAGAGAAAAGATAAATTTCCTACAAAGGGGAAAAGGGGGAGGGTGGGGCACACAGACTTCTTGTTGGCTGGAAGATACTTCGAAAGGGCTAAGAGACGGTACCAGTCAATCTAGAACGTTATGCCCAAGCCAGTCTTTCAAGATTCTCCTCGCTGCAAACCACTAAATATAAACCAGACAAGATACAGTCCTAATAGTCAATTACATATTTCATGAAAACAACGATTTATGCCCAAACTGTAAGATTTAACCTCAGCTGGAGAGACTTCTTTGGAATAAATAGAATGGCTTCACAACAGGGGTTATAGAGAGAGAAGTTACACGTAAATTCACTCATGCATTCATTCATGGTCAAGTTACTGTGGCAAGGAAGTTCCGGTCAGACGTACACGCCATGCTATAGAAGATTGTCATGAAGAGGAGACTCAAAATCAGGAAAGATGGAAATTAGTAGCCTTGTTTCAAAAAGAACCCTCACAAACAGGTAGATGGCATAAAATTTGAACATTGAGATTTAGCAAACACAGCCAACAGTGTACTTCCTCACCTGGGGTTTGTATAATTGAGTAATCATCTCCCTTCTTGAAATAAGCTGAAATTTTCTTATCTATTTACTTTTAATTTATGTGTGTGTAGGTTTTGTAACGTGTATATTATATGACAAGTATTACAAATAAATAATCATAAGTATGTTAGAGGGTCGGTACCCAAAGTACTTAAAGATGGGGATGCCCAGTTTTAGTTTGGAGAACACTCATCTAGTGTGTCTCAAACTAGGGAACCACATCAGGAGAGCTTACTTAAAATGCAGGTGCCTGGGCCCTCACCTGGACCTGCTGAATGTGACTCTGGGACGGGCCAGGCTTGCGTATCTCCAACAGTTTCCCTTCCAATTCTAATGAGCACCAGAGTTTGAGAACTGTTTTTTCTAGAAAATAAATCCCACTCCTTAGCTGGACGCTGAAACCCACATGGCCCTGGCCTCCCTGGTGTTCCTGTCTCCCCCATCCCCATCAGGGAGATGCTGTTGCCATGGAAACTGCCCCGTGCCCATTTCTGTTGCTCAGCCCAGCGTCCAGTGTGAGGCTGATGTCCAGGACGTGTTGACCCAACTCGTACTAGCAAGGCGCCCAGCTCTGACTCACCTCTGCACTTTGCACCTGCAGTTTCCTGAACTTCCTTTTTGAAATTTCTTTTCCCTGTTCCTCCCATCAAATTCTTACTGATCCTTCATTCTGCCCTTTAATCCTCTGTAACTCATGACTCCCATGTCCTTGTTGTATGACTTACCATATCTTATTACATTTATTTACTTGTGCATCTCCCTCTTGAAACTGTGAGCTCCTTGAGGGCTCAAGAAGCTGTGTCTTGGGGTTTTTTTGATCATTTTTGGGGGTAGCATTCCTTGTTGCTTACTTTTTGGTTTTTTAAAATTTATTGTTATTGAAGTAACATTGGTTTATAACATACAAGTTTCATACGTACCACATTATATTTCTACTTCTGTATACCCTTCAGTGTATACGGTGTACTCACCACCGAAAATGTAGTTTCTATCCATCACATACAGTTGGCCCCTTTATTACCCAGTGCACCCTCCTTCCTCCTCTCCCCTCTAATAACCACTACTCTGATTTCTGTATCCATGTGTTTGTTTTCCTTTGGTTTATACCTTTATTTTATCTTTTCATTTGTTTACTCACTTTTGGTATCCCACATATGAGTGAAATCACACAGTATTTGTCCCTCTCTGTCTGGCTGATTTCACTCAGCCTGACAAGTCACACTGCAGTGGTATGGATGTGTGGGCTGAACTGCAGAACATCATCTCCTTCATCCAAAACATCCAGAGAAAGAACATTGTCCTCATTTGGTTCGTGCCAAGAGCTCAGTTTGCTCCATACAGAGATTGTGGCAATGGAATTTCTTTGAAGAACAATTACTAGTAATTCACAAAGGTGTATTTGTGGATTCAAAGTATTACTTGTCCAAAATTATATATGAGTGGGGTCTAACACCAAGCTTCCTCTCTTCCTTCTGTTCTTGAATGCAGAAATCCACCCCTCTGGCATGAGACACCCCAGTCCACCCCCAAGACCAGGATTGTTCCACTGAACCACATACAATTCCTGTTACCTTTTCTCTGCACCCCCTCCCCCGCTCCCCAGCTCTCGCTCTCAACGTTTTCTAGTTTGAATGACCCAGCTGAGACCTGCCCCTGGCACCACCCACCCGCATTGTCTAGCCCAGAGTACAAAGTTTCCTGGCCACAACGGATATCATAGTTGGAGATCTTCCCCCAGAATATTTTTAATACTTGTAATATCTATATAGGTTAGCTGTAGATTTTGGTGATTCCCATGGTTCACGGGGAATTTTCCAGTGGTTTCTCTTACGGGTCAAGAGGAAAGTACGGGACAGTTTGCTTACTATTATATCTGATTTTTATGTCTGGTAATTTGAAGATTGTGCTGTCCGTATGGACAGCTTTTTCAGATGCAAGAACTAAACTGAAATTTGGGTGTCACCAGATTTGTGGATGTTTTTACATCATCATCATCATCACACTAGTACTAGGAGTAGTAATAATTATTGAGCACTTCAGTTCACAGACCTTTGTGAAGTTCAGGTACTTTGCAGAGATGACCTCTTACCATCGTCACAAAAACCCTGTAAGTTGGAGGCTGATACTCACATCACACAGAAGTGGTCACGTGCCCCAGGCAGATAGATGCATTGTCTTTCCCAGGGTCACACTGTTGGGCGGTAGCAGAGCCAGAGCGTGGCCCTGGGTGGTCTAACTCCTGAGATTCTGCGTTAACTTCTACATCTCCCCTCAAAACTCCATTTTCAGTTTTTAAAAATGAGTTAGCAGTTTGAAAATTATTCTTAAAAATAAAGAGGATGTTGTTTGAAAGGGTCTTTAGAGCCTCTTAATTCACTTGAATTTATAATGTGTCCTGCATTTCTGGATGTTTTTTTAAATGCTTACTGTTCTTTGATTTGCAGGCCCAAGAAACTAATATTAAAAGCGTTCAAACAATACTGGTTCGTCTTTAAAGACACATCTATAGCCTACTTTAAAAACAAGGAACTTGAACAAGGAGAACCAATAGAAAAACTAAATCTTAGAGGTAAGAGGGTAATACGTCTTGGTATGGCTTGTCATGGCCAGCAAGCAGATGAAGGCTGAGGATCCCCCCAGGGAAGCGGGGTTCACTCCCAGGGGAATCTCTGCATGTCACTGGTTTCAAACCAGGAGCCTGTCTGCAGCTCCTCTTCCCCGTGAAGTGTGGACCCGGAATGCAGCCCAGTGAATGGTTATTTTCATTATGCTGTTCCCTCTTTGCCAGTGTGTCCAAGTCTCTGACGGGGTGATAACCAGTGTCGTAAAGGTAGCACCTGACACATTGTGCAATCCTAAAGAACTTTCTGAATTCCAGAACAGTTATGTTTAATTCAGTGTCACCTTCATGCCTATTATAATTTCTAATTAACAGTGGCTGTGAGCATATTGGTAGCTCCATTAACTGAAAATGTAATTAACTAGTGCACCCAATTCCCTTCTCATTGTGACAGAGAATTCCCCTGCTTTGATTTATTTCAAAGTTCACCTTCAGTCATTGTTTCTATGAGTTAGAATAGCCTAATCGACCTGAAAGATGAATCTAACCAATGACATATTTAAGAAATTTGTAAGAGAAAATATTTTTATCGATCCATGCTAATTGTTCACAAGCCTTATTTCGTTAGCCTTTAATTAATGTTATCAGCTTGCTCCTCAGTGTTTCAGAAGAGAACTAAATCTGAGGGGCTTATGTTCAAAGCATTTTTTTTAGATGCACATCTGATATTTGTATGAGATTTCTCAGAGCTCAGTTCTGTCCCTGCCTTTTCTCATTCAGGCTGTGAAGTCGTTCCAGACGTAAATGTAGCAGGGAGAAGATTTGGAATCAAGTTACTAATCCCTGTTGCTGACGGTATGAATGAAGTGTATCTGAGATGTGACCACGTAAGTAAAACCACGAAAATGTGAAGTCACCTCACCTCTATTGAGCCTCAGGACAAACCGTCTGAGGGGTCTTCTCAGAACACTCATCAGTCAGCTACTGCTTTGTAACAAGCAACCACAAAATCACAAAGACCCACACCAGTAAACATTGGCTTCTGAAGCATCTGCAGGTAGACTAGGGGTTGGGTGACCAGGCTGGTGTGAGCTGGACAGACCTGCTTCCAGCCATCCTCCTGGCCCTGATTCAGGCTGAGCCCACAGGATTTGTTCTGAGTCCCAGACTGCCTGGGAGGCTCTTCTCAGAGTAGGGGTAGAAGTGCCAGAGGGAACTGGGAACATGGGGGACCTCCTGAAGCTTACATGTGGAGTTGGTACACTCACTTGCACCCACATTCCATTGGCTAAAGCATGTCCATGGGCAGGACCTAAGTCAGGGGGTGGGAAGTTACACTCTGGCTCTGGTGGGAGGGACTGTAAAATTACATGGCAAGAGGTGTGGACACCAGGAGGGTGGAGATTGAGGTCAGTGATTCAGTAAACCACACCTACTATTGCTCTGAAGAATTAATTCCGCTCTTTACCTGCATCCCTTGGCTTCTGGGACCACTCCCCTTCACTCGCTGCGGTACAAGTGAGTACAGACATAAAGAACAGTAGAAGCCACCGCTCAGTGGTTCAGATCCATCGATGAACCTGATTCCTTACACAAGGGGTTAGAATCTTTACTTGGGGTAGGCCAAGGTGGAAATAAGATGGGAAATCAGGTCATGATTTTTCCTCATTTTCTTCTGTCATAGATATCAGACGTGATATGAAAATGAAAGTAGATCTCAAGGACGCTGTTCAGTAGTTTGGGTTTTCAGCTGTCTGTGCTCCACTGCGCTCCTTTGTGTCCTTGGTTCATCTTTAAATGCAAAGTTCCACACATGGAATTTCTCAAAGGGGATATTCCCGTTCTGTAGCCCCTTGGTATCTAGAAATGCAACTCAGGACTCAAAAGCTTCCATTGGATGTTCAACTGGGTGACTTAACAGCCACTCAGAATGCGTGCCACTTCACGTCTTCTCTTGCAGGGAAGGTGCTGGTTTTGTATTGATTAGAGAAGTGAAAGCGCAGGTCCTGCTCTGTCCCCAGCAGGGCCGCTTTGCACTTGAACGTGCTTCTTAGCCCTCTGGTATCTGCTGCAGGAGAATCAATATGCCCAGTGGATGGCTGCCTGCATCTTGGCCTCGAAGGGCAAAACCATGGCGGACAGCTCCTACCAGCCAGAGGTCCTCAACATCCTTTCATTTCTGAGGATGAAAAACCGGAACTCAGCATCTCAGGTGGCTCCCGGGCTCGAAAACATGGACATGAACCCGGAATGTTTTGTGTCACCTCGGTGTGCAAAAAAACACAAGTCTAAACAGGTACTCCTACTCTGGTTGGGGTGATTGCCGTGGATTCTGTATTTTCTGAAACAAAAGGAAGAATTAAAATGGTCAAGACCATCACAAAAAATCAGCTGGTGGGGGAATCTGATTATGAACTGGATATGAGGTGATACTAAGAAATTATTCTGAATTTTGTTAGTGGTGACTGTACGGCTTACTGAACATAGTAATATTCCCAGAACTAACCTAATTTTAAGACGATGACTGAGTCTTCACAAATGACAAATTTAAATTATGCTTCCATGAGAGGGGGTTAAAAGTTACATAGATAAACTGATTTAAGAAGAACCACTGTTTGGGGGCACTCCACAGACCCCCCAGAAAGAAGAATTAAGAACCTCCATCTGTGTGAAGCCTAGAAGCTTATATGTTGGCTCTCTTCATGTTTCTCCCCAGTGATTTGCGTGTATTACAGAAAAGGAGAGTGAATGAATGAATGAATGAATGAGAAGGAATTGTCTTTGCGGAGCTGCAGTCGGGCCTTGCATTCATTCTTGTCAGTGGGGGTCTGGAACCAGCAGGCTGATGGCTGTAGGCAGTCAGGGTCTGCGGAGGAGAATTTGACGTCTCCCGCTTCTGCTTAGCTGGCAGCCCGCATCCTGGAAGCCCACCAGAACGTGGCCCAGATGCTCCTGGTGGAAGCCAAGCTGCGGTTCATCCAGGCGTGGCAGTCTCTACCTGAATTTGGCCTCACCTACTACCTAGTCAGGTGATTACCGTGTTCTCTTGCCTCTCTCACTTTCTGTTCAATTTTAAGTGGTTTCCTTGGGGCCCAGTTGATTCTTATTTGGTCTAGAATGTAGAACTCACTTTTATCATTATTATTTAGAATACTGTCCTTCCACAAATGGCCCGAACGCTTTTGGCTGCTCATAACGGTCTTCCATGCCTCTCTGCTTCTCCTGTGTCCCCTGTGCTTTCAGCTTAGCAGCCAGAGCGATCCTTTTAAGATCTCAGTCAGACCATGTCAGGCCTCCGCTCACCACCATCAGAAGGCATCGTGCCACACTCAGAGTAAAAGCCAGATCCTGACAGTGGCCTCACAAGACCTTAACTCTGGAATTTCACATCCCCTCCCCTCCTTTGCTGTGCCCAGCCACACTGGCCTCCTGGCAGGGCCTTGACATGCAAAAGAAAAAAAAAAAGCCCTGGCCTTTGCACTGTCTGTGCCCTCTGCTCTGATACTCATTCCCCAGATAGCCTGGCTCACTTGCTCACGGATATCAAATTTCCCTTCTCACTTAGCTCTTCCCTGACTGTCTCTTTAAAGTGTAGCAACCTCATTGCCGGTATTCCCTGTGCCACTTCTGTGCTTTGTTCTCCTTTGTGACCTTACCTGCCTCGTTCATGACTCTCTCCCCACAGAGAATACAAGTTCCAAGTTCCATGAAGCCAGTAATTTTCCCTCTATGTAGGTCACTGCTGTAGTCCCTGCTGTAGTCCCGCTGCCCAGAAGGGAGCTGGATGTGGCTGGTGCTAACTTTGAATTAACAGACTCTTTTTGGAGGGGTCATTAGGTCTATTTATTATTAGGGTTTCTTTTTTTTCTTTTTCATAGAGGTACTGGGGATTGAACCCAGGATTGAACCCAGGCCCTCCTGCATGCCAGGCATGCACTCTACCATTTGAGCCACACCTTTCCCCCTTGACTTAGTTGACTTAACCTCCTCTTAGTTTGCTTTCCTCTGATGTCAGTCTCACCTTTCATTCCTCCTTTTCAGTCATAATAAAAATGCCCTTCTGTGGAAAGTTAACCCCTCATTGTCTACTCTTCAGAAATGATTTAGAAATGTTGATATTGTGTTTAAGAAGTTGCATGTGAATGGACATCGGGTTACAGGAAGCAAGCGCTTCTTTGAATTAATTTTCTTTTCAGATTTAAAGGAAGCAAGAAAGATGACATTCTGGGAGTTTCATATAATAGGCTGATTAGAATTGATGCTGCCACTGGGATTCCAATTACAACATGGAGATTCACAAATATGAAACAGTGGAATGTAAACTGGGAAATCCGGCAGGTAAAGTGAAAGTTTCTCATATATTCAGTGTTGAGCCTATAAATGTGTCTTCCCTCCGAACTGCAGATTATTCTGTTTTTTGAAAAGGTGTTCTTAGAAACCACAAGCATGTGGTAATTGTCTGCTAAAATAATCACATGCAGTTCTGGGCAGTTTCTGAACAACTACAAGCCAAATACTTTTGGATTAACACAAGTCGGCTTGGTCTCCATACAGATTCTAAAATTGCTGAGAAGTCTGATTAATTTCCTTCAAGTCAGCAGGGGATTATGTAAGATTTAGGCTGATAACTACTTAGCAGAAACCACCTGAGATTGTAACCATCATACAAAATAAATCCAAAACAGGCCTCATCTGACTGGCTGCCAAGAGGTGTAACTGGTTGAGAATTCAGCCCATGTGGATAGTATTCCTGTCCCCAAAAGGAAAAAGTGCCAGAGAAGCCCACAAGGTGCACAGATGATGGAGGAAAGCTTAGCCTGTGGGTTCAGGAGCCCTCACCCCCGTCAGCTCCACCCTAGGAACCAGGTCAGGCCAAACCTGCATCATGGGACCTACTAGACAAAGTCAGGGACAGCTGAGTGTCGTGGTGATCTTAGACATTCTGCTCTTGCTAATCCAGACTCTCTTACCTCATTCCTTTGGCATTTCCCATTTTTCCAGTAGAAGACCATCAATGTAGAGGGAGGTTAAGAGACTCACATCTTTTTTTTAAGAACCGTGGCTGCTTCTCAGCTGGGCTGTTGACTATCTAGGCGCTCATTTGTAGAAGGAAGGTCTGAGATTAGGGAGCCCCTCAGGAATGGCTCGAACACCTTGTTGCACGCTCAGGACCACGTGAATCTGACTCTGGGAGTAAGAGCTGAGATCATTGAGTCTTAAAAGTCCAAGCTGATTCCAATGAGCAGCTGGTTCCAATGAGTGGAGAACAGGTGAAGATGCAGTTTTTCCTAGTGCTTAGAGCTTAGGACTTGCAGCTGGGAAGGGGTGAGGGCTGTGGCTTAGGAAAACTCACGTGGGCCCTTCCTTCTCCATTAAAAAATCTTCAAACCCCCTGCCCCTCGACACAGGGAGTGCTTAGACAGTTCTTACACCTAAACAAAAGGCAGACAGACAGAAAATAGTCTTTGTTGGGAGTTAGAATGTTCTGCCAGGTGTGCTGGAAGTGCCACTAGAGGGCGCTCGGGGAGCACCGCGTTTTCTATAAGCCGTTAAGGGGAGCGGCGGTTTTGCGGGGCTTTGGGAAATCCACCTGTCGCGACCTCAGCCAGCGGCCGGCAAAGCAGCTGCTTTTCCTGTCCCCCTGTCAAAGTGTGAGCGTCCCGGCTCCCTCCTCTTCCAGGTGGCCATCGAGTTTGACCAGAACGTGTCCATTGCGTTCACCTGCCTGAGCGCGGATTGCAAGATCGTGCATGAGTACATCGGCGGCTACATCTTCCTGTCCACCCGCTCCAAGGACCAGAATGAAACGCTCGACGAGGACCTGTTCCACAAGTTGACCGGTGGCCAGGAATGAGCAGATCAGGCCTGGGGGGGGGGGTCTACACAGCCCTGGGGGGCCAAAGGCAGGCCTCCCTGGATGCTGGGTCCCCTGCCTGCACTGGGTGTCTATGTTCCAGACTGACAGCCTGTGTCACCACCAGGCATCCAGACCCTCCCCTCAGTTCAGACACCCTGCCTGCACATCCCTCATCTCACTTGGCCCTGTGCTGCCAGCGGTGGAAGAGGCCTCAGTTAACCTCTCCTGGACGTGAGGGGTGGGAGAGAGGAGGGTGCTGGGACGTTGCTCGAAGGCCCAGCGTGTGGCGACAGTTCTGTAACTCGCAGAGCCTGCGGGTGTTACGGCTCCAAGTTGTCCATGTGCTTACCTGCTTTGTTGCCAAGTTAGCAGAAAAACAAAGGTTAAAAGCGCCTGTGGCAAGGACATCTTATTCCACAAACTCAGGTATGAAAAGAAATATTGGGGAAGGAGGGTAGAGCTCAGTGGTAGAGCCCATGCGTAGTATGCATGAGATCCTGGGTTCAATCCCCAATACCTCCGTTGAGTAAATAAATAAACCTAGTTACCTACCCCCTGCCCTGCAAAAAAAAAGAAATATGTCCTTCTTTAACAGAAGTACTTTTAACTCCCATCTGGTGAAAATGGCAGAGGGAGTCCATGCGTACACTTTTATCCCAGAGGTCAAGGTCCTGGGAAAGGAGGGGTGACCTGGGACCAGTTGGTGACAAGAGGTCAGAGTAGTGGCCCTCGGTGTCATCAGTCCACAATGACACGTTGCCAAGGTGACCATTAACCCATCTGGTCTTGGACAGTGGTGCTCTCGGGCTCCTGCCCCACCCACAAGTCCCATTCCATCCCTGGGGCTCCCTCCGCCACCTTTAAGTCCCTCCTGAAGGCATGGTGACACAGGAGCTCAGGGAAACCCATTCCTCAAATCCAGCATGTATCTCACCTGCTTCTGCTCTAGGCTGGAAGATGGGTCCAGTTCTAACCTCTTCATAAAAACCACCTCCCAGCAGTGAGGCTTCCAGCGAAGTCTCCATCCCAACCCTTCAGGGAGAGACAGGCAAGACCCAGGCAGACCCTTTCACAAAGACCTCTGTGTTCAAGGGCTGGGCCCCTCACTGGCTTCCGCCTCCTGGACCTTTGGCTGGTCCGTGGGGAAGAGAAGCCTTTTCTCATCACCTGTCAGGGTTCTCCTGGATTTGGTGTCTGGTTATATGACTCATGGCCTTTCCCCTAAAGGCCTTTTTTTTTTCCAAGTTTACACGTATAAATTTCATTATCTCCAAGCCACAATGCCAGTCACACATGTGCACCCTTTAAAACGGTAACAAACAACAACACACTTAGAGAACAAAACACAGCAAAAAAACACAGTGGACCACCAGAGACAAATGTCCCAGTGTCTTAAGGTCCAGGAATCTGGACATGCTACCCCCTGGACTGAAGAGACATCTTCAGGTTTAAGGCAAAGGGAACAGCCTACACAAGGCACAACCGCCAGCTGCCACTGGAAGAATCTTAGTTATTTCTTCCTTGGGGGTTTGAGTGCCTCTCTCCTGTCCCCACCCCTAGACTTTTTTTTCTCTGCTTTTTGCTCTGGCATCTCTGCCTTGGGACATGACTGTGGGCCAATTAACAGTTGCCTCAAATGAATAAACCTAATTACCACCCCCTAAGTGGGGAGGGTGTAGCTCAAGTGGTAGAGCGCATGCTTGACATGCACGAGGTCCCAGGTTCAATCCCCAGTACCTCCTCCAAATAGAAATAAACGAACAGGTGCCTCAATTGTCAGCTTCTCTTTTGGTTTGGCAGTGTTGGGAGGACTGAGTTTTAAAAAGGTAACAAGCAGTACTGGGGCTAGAGGGAAATACCAGACTTTTTTTTTTTTAACGTGTAAATATTCTCCTGTCACAGAGGACATGGGTTGCCAGGGTGAGGCAGAGACTCTCTTCACATTTTGAAGTTCTTTCAGGATGCAAAGCTCAGGGGGCCTGGCTAGACCTCAGATGCCCCAAAACACTGGGTGTTGCTTTGTTTTCCAACAAAGCCATCTGAGAAGACAGATCTCCACAGTTCTGGGGGCCACCTCGAGTCAGCCTTGGCGGGGGACCCTTAGGCCCTGAGATAGAAGCTGTCACTGGAAATCCCTCTTTCAGCCTCTCCTTGGAGGTGAATGTTAGTTAAGAATGTTCAAACACCAGCTGAGCTTCTGAGGCCTAGCCGAAAGCTGGGAGGTGGCTTAGGCACTTGGAAAATCTGGCCCATGTCATAAAGAATTTAGTCTGAAGTGTTTTGTAGAGGAACCAGTGCTGCGTGTACTGCGGTGAACTTGGTGGTGACTTCTCCACAGTCCTGGGCTTCGCGGTTTTAGATCCTAGCTGGGTCCTACAGTAAGACAGTGCTCCCTGATGTGACGTTTCACCTGCCTGCTGCCACACACAGCTCTGCCTAATTTACCAACAACCCTCTTCCTTAGCTTTTCCTCCTTGTCTGGCATCTCCGTGGAAACACTCAAAAGAGTTGCCTGGTTTTAACCGAACTTCCAGGGGAGCATTTCTTCCTTGAGTACACTGCCACCTCCCGGAGTAAACAAGTGTGACAAGAAACCCTAAAAATGCTGCTGTTCCAAAGAGGACACTTTTATTTTTAAAGACTTTTTTTTCTTACATTAGGTGCAAAGGTCACCTGACTTCCTATGATAAAATTTGAAATTAACATGTGCCTTTCAGCCCTGTTTGCTTTTTTATCTATACTACATGGGTAACTATGCATTTTTTTGTTATCTTATGTGCATTTTTTTAATTAAAAGTTTTATCTGGATTTGAATGCAGGCTAGGAGCATCCTTTCAGTGTGTTGTCTCTTAAAAAGGTGAGTATTTTTTCCACTACAAAAAAGAAGTGCAACTTTCAGGTTTAACACTTGCTTTTCCTCACAGTTGCAAGATTTGAGCTTATTCTCTGCAGTGAGATTGACTTAGAATCCTCCCGTAACCACCAGTTTCAACTCCTTTCTCATTGACAGTCACCAGATTTCCTGACATATCATGAGTTTTTTTTATCCAGGTCTACCTTTTGGAAGAAGCATCATAGAGCAAAGAAAAGCCATAGGCAGAGGAGCATCAGAGGGCCTCTGATTTGATGGCCAGATGTCAAGGGCATATCTTTGATCTCGTGGTACATCGTACATGGTACCTGTTAGAGGCAGACGGTCCATAAGGGGTAGGGATGTGCTGTTTGTAGATGTCCCTTCATGCAGTTCTCACATCCACACATAGGGGGCAGGAACAACGTGCCTTCTCATTTTACAGAGAAGCCACGCTCCGAAGGTAAAATAACTTCCCGCCAGTAAGCAGTGGAACCAGGATTCAAACGACGTTTGTCTTAACTCCAAAGACCACTGAGCTTAACCCAGCAAACCCCACCCTTCCATTTCCAGCCCCGCTCAGCTCTGAAACGCTTGCCCCACCCTCAGCCCCAGTGCGGACCTCTCCTGACTCAGTGTCCCCATGTCACACTGTAGAAGAGGGCCAGGGAGGTTAGGGGTTGGCTGCCCCAGAGTAGCTGGGGAGGTGCAGGTGGATCAAAAAGGTCTAGAAGCCACAGAAATGAGCTACCTAGTGAGTATTTTATGATTCTGGGAAAGTCTCGTTTTCAGTTCCAGGGTGGAAAAAGTAAGCAAATGAGTTTCATTTGAAAACTCATCTTTGAGTTGTAAACACTAGAAGCCAAGGCGTTCTGCAATTTTTGTTTTCCGGAATCACTAAAAAAAAAAAAAAAAAATTTTTTTTTAAATGTGCTTGTAGTAAAGACTTCTTTTCCCTTCCATACATTCAGCAAAGGGTGAAATGGGAAAGGAGGTGCCCTTCGACCCCTCCAGCCTCCCTGAGAGATTCTGGGGTGACACGGGGAGGGGAGGAGGCAGGGAAATCACATGAAATAATGAAATTATAAATTTTTCATTATTCTCCCACACAAATACATGACTTTATGAAATCACATGAGAGATGATCATGTGAATAAATGAAATGTGTATGATTTTTTTCATCATTTCCCACACAAACATGATGTTCCCACTTCCTCCCCTTTCCCCGCTGTCACCCCAGAATCTCTGGGAATGGCAGGGGTGGGAAGAAGCTGCCTCCTCTTCTATTTTGCCCCCTCCTCCCCTTCATGCCGCTTCCTCCAAGAGCCGTTGAGCCCTGGACGTCCCAGACAAGCTGAAGGGCAGCACTTAGCCCTTTCCTGTGTTCAAGTTTCCCCTTTCTCAACACTTGCAGCTCATTGAAGCCGTGTGGCAATGCTGAGTGCTGTCAGAAGGGGACAAAATCAGCCTCTCCCGTCCTCCGTCCTCACAAATGCCCGTGCTGCTCTGGACCCCGCTGGCCTTGGGGTGATAGGTCCTCAGACTTGGTTACAGTGGAACCCTTCCTGATGAATGAAAGGTCAGATTCTAATGAATTAAGCCCCACGTGAGCCCAGGTTGCATGGAAGCCACTTCGGAAAACACTGGATTAGATGATTTAGAAGGAGCCTCCAGGAGCCTCCCCGCATTTACCCAAACATCCTGTGTTACATCAAGACCTGGTTACCTCACAAGAGGGGCTATGAAAACACACATGGCGGGGAGGATGTAGTGCAAGTGGTAGAGCGCATGCTTAGCATGCATGAGGTCCTGGTTTCAATCCCCAGTGCCTCCTCTAAAAATGAAGAAATAAACCTAATCACCTCCACCCTCAGAAAAAAAGGCCTAAATAAATAAATCACTCTTAAATAACATTTTAAAAAGGACACTCATAAACAGGATGGGAATTCGAGATTTCATCTGGATTCACTAGTCACACTGTCAAAAAGATTTCTGACTAAGTGAATTTACTTCCTTCTGACTCGCCGTGTGACCTTGAAGACCTCGAATTCCCCTACGTGCCTCGGTTTCTTTGCTCATGACAGAGGAAACATCCTGCAGCCACTCCCCAGCAGGGGACCCCCAGCTGACCAGTGCTGTCGGGGACCCTGCAGGGGGTCGTTTTGAAATTTGGAAGGTGAGGCCTTGGCTGCTCTGAGATCCCTGGGACGGAAGGATGGGCCCTGGGGAGGAGGCAGAAGACCTTCTGTGAGTGGAGCCCTGGCCTCAGGGAGGGGCGGGTCCAAAGCCCCAAGCCTGTGTCCTCCGACTCAAGGGCTGTGTCGTCAGAGGCCTTGGTGGCCCCAAACAGGTCCCCTGATAGGATGAGGGGAAGACAAATGAGGTTCCAGAAGGGAAACAAGCATATGTGTGTATTTATTTATATTTATATTTATATACATATGTATGTGTATCTCCTTGAGAAAAGAGCAGGTGATGCAGCAGGGCCGGGGGCCCAGGCTCAATACGTGGGGCGTGGTGACAGGCTGGCTGGTTTGTGCCCAGCACCTCACTGGTAAAGGCAACCCCTACTTGTGGCCACCATGGCGATTAAGACGGAGCAGGGACACTCCTGCAGGCGACAGGACGGGAAGTGGGGGAGCCAGTGCCGAACAGTCAGATGTTCCTTTTTTTTTTCTCCCCAAATAGTCAGATATTCCTGCTCGCTAAGCACGCGCTTTACCGCCGAGCTGTACCCTCCCCCATGTTACTATCTCATTTGAAGGTATTTTCTCACTTGCTTTGCTGATCACATCCAGAAAATTCTCTTACAGAGTCTGAGTTTGATCATGTTTTTCACCATAATCAAAATCCAGAAGCATCAGCCTGGTCAAAAAGGAAAGTGAAACAGCAGCAGTAGAGGGAGATCAAGCCTTGGTCCGAGGGGTGTGTCCCTTCAGCTGTGAAGCCAGGGTCCGGGTCCGGGTCTGGGTCGGGGTCCAGGTGCTTCCTTGCCACCCTCTGTATTCCGGCACTCTGTGATCATGGTCCATTTCGGTCCCCCCACCCCACCCAGGTCACGGCACGCCCCCTACTCCGATGTAACGCTCCAGGCCTTTCTACCATGCACATGTTTTTCTTTCAAAACTCTTGCATCACTCTGCCAACTTGACCCCAGTATCTGTGTCAGGCCACATAGTTACAAAACTCGAATTTCAGGGCTTGTTGGCAGGCTGCCATGGCTGTCAAATATGCCCCAGGGGCTAAAGAGATACCGAGGGGTTAAATGGCGATGCCACTTTAGAGCCAGTGAAGTCAGCTTCCACCTCCCCAAAGAGTGGTCTCAACGACAGTGAAGCTCACAGCACACGACTGAAGGCTCAGGAAGCTAGCACGGACCCAGGGCTGCCACTTGCGCTGCCATGAGTCTTTCAATTCATCCTTTAAGTGAGGTAGGTATTAGCCCCATTGTATAGATTAGGAAAAGTGTGGTGGCGTCCTGGTAAATTGTTTTTTTTAATGAACAAAGTCGATGTATTTAAAAGGAAGACTACAGAATTTGACACTGAGAGAGATATCAAAGACCCACAAGATTTATAACTGATAAATACCAAAATGATTGGCTATAAACCATGTAAAAATACATTCCCTGGTCCCCAAACAGAACATAAGTTAAGTATGGCAATTATAAAATGTTTACATACATTTTCCTTATAATTTGTAAGAACCATTCTAAAGAATTTATTTGTATAACAAATTTACCATATCCATTGATAAAAAAATTATTAATTTGAATTTATTATTGTTTGCCTTTTTCTATACGTAACAGTGGCTTTTGTCCCAAGTTCTCCTTGAACTTTTTATTTACCATAAAGGTCTTTTTATTCCTAATTCTTTCTACAAACAGAAGAGGGAGGCTAATCCGTCATGGATCCTGTAGAAAACAACGTGAAGAAAAGTTCTAGAGTGAACAAAAATACCGGTGAATATATTATCTTTCTGAAAAGGGGAGGATTGGGTGGCCAGCTGAGATCCATTTCTGCACCAATGAAACAAATGGAAGTGAAACCTGAGAACAAGCAGAACTGAAGCTCAGTGCCAACGTGCTGTGTCTGTGAGGCCAGCTGAGGACAGTCCCCAAAGCTCAGTGAAGCCCAGTGCACACGTGGGCTCCCTGAGGCAGCCCAGATGGTTGCTGTGAATCCCAGATGGGTGTAGATGGCACTTCAAATGACAATGGTATAGCTCGATACAAAATTTCCTGGTAAATTTTTAATAACTCTGTGGGCGAGAGGGAGACCTGGTTTGCTAGTTTCCCTGGCGTAGACTCCCAACACAGCCAACATGACACCAAGATGACATCACTGAATACAAAATTGGGAAGAGGTTCAAACACCTGGCTCTCTCTCAAACACAGGGCTGAGCCAACCTCAGCACACACTGGAACAGGGTACAGAGGTCAAACAACTGGTCAAGGTCACCCAGCTAAAACAGCTAAAATGTGGGACGGGAGGATGTGGACCCACGCCTCTGACGTTAGCACAACTTTTGATATTCCCACGTGAACAGTGAGGTCTCATGAGCGGAGAGCCCTAGGTTGTCTTTCTCTGTGATAATATAGCCCTGAAGTGAGTTTTCCCAGAACATACAAAACTCCCTAGAAGTTCTTCCCTCCCGGTTACGTTACACCAGATTCCAAACGTCACAATGGTGACAGTTTCCACTAAAAAATCTTCAGACCCCAACTGCTTGACGGTATGACATTTGACTGCACATCTGGGTCAGAGGTGGGGTTTAGGAGGGGAAAGAGTTCTGCCTTCGTCCCAAAAGAGCAAAACACCAAACCATGACCTGAGACAACCCCCCAGCCCCCACGTCCGTAATGGGCTGGCCTTTGCAGATAAATGATTAACGTCAAGTCCACCAGGGAGAGGCGACTCTTCCTCGGGGACCGAGCTCTGTTTTTAGAGGCTGAGTGGAATGT